TTTTAGTCGTTGAAATCCTAACCTAGTCTCTTCCGAGATCTAAGGGATTAAGTTATAATATTCCTATGCCGGTTCAAAGCCCCTTGAAATTACCATAACCCATTGCTTATGAGGATCTTATCTTGTGTTTCTTCCGAATACTTACAAGTATTTTTAGTTTAGGATTCTTCCGAATACCTAACCTTCATCTAAGAGATGGACATTTCCATGCCTCTTACAAGCCTAGATGGTGAAGCATTCATAAGCAAAGCAAATAAAGAACCAAAATAAACTTAAATATACCATTAAAAATAAAGTTTAAACAACCATTAAATCAACCACCACCAAATAAGTTAGTTCATGGTGGGGTTCGAAATATCCAAACACAAAGTCATGAAAATATTCGTTCCAACAACCCAAAAAAATAATATAAAAATAGCAGCAAAAAAATGAAGCGAGAAGAAGCCTTCGACGCGTCACCGGAGGTCTCCTCTCGGCCACCACGAACCACCTAGCTCGCTAGCTCCTTTCGGCGCCTAGCTTGCCACTCCTTGGAGCTTTATCAATGGAGGAATATCCCAAGGAAGAAGAAAGGAAAAGAGAAAATAAAAATGTGATTTTTCTGCTCTATGCGTGTGCTCTCTGTCCGTGTATCTCTCTCTCCCATGAGGTGTCATATATAATAAAAAATATCTAGGGGTAATGATGAGTTTGTTGGGTGCAAAATACCCCTCATACCCCTAGAATCACATGTTGTGCATGAACCTTATCCTCCAAGTGGCAGTGGTCCATTGGCAGCTCTGGCAGGCGGTTACAGCAGTCCTTCACGTGCAGAGACAGCTGTCCTGATACAAAAATATCTTTTTGTCTTTTTCTACGCCGAAAATGCCAAGGCATTTCAATCTGCTTTAGCAACGTGTGATGCCGCGGCATTACTTCCCAAAGAATCCTTTTTCTTGCTATTCTCTGCACACCATAGACAAACTGCACCTTTCCCTCAAACAGCACCATTAAGAAATAAAATAGCATAACCACCACAAATGCAACTATATACAACTACATGATCCTAAAATGACTAAAATGAGCTTTTAAACAAACAATAACTTAAGTGAAAAAAGCTTTAAAAGTAGCCTTTTTAGGAAGTTAACACACCCCCAAACTTAAGCTATTGCTTGTCCTCAAGCAATGGATAGCAGTTACATAAGCATAATGTCATGGCAAAGTTCGATAGTAAGACAGTAGGACAAAATTGAATTTCAACCCTCAGAACGATATGCTTCAACATGCTAGACTTATCAAGAATTCAAGTACTTTTCCCTAGGTCAAAATCCTTTGTGGTAGTGTGTGTGCGTGATTGTATCCAATCTATACTTAGCGAATTTAGACAATTTCTAATCAAGTCCCCTAGTTTTTTATCAAGGCGTTTACTTATCATTAAGCACATTTTTACTCCCTTTTCTTTGATTTTTTTTTTATGCTGTTACGAAGGGAGTCAGCTCATCACACCTACTCTCCCACACTCTAGATGAAAGGGAGCATACCTTCCATCCCCGAGCTAGTTAAGTAGAGTCATCCCGTGACTTCTTTCATTCACTCATATGCACAAGGCTTCCATTTATTAAATAAAGTTCCAGGAAATGCCACGGCAAAGAGGAGTGTCCCTCTACAGCTATGCTTAAGCATTTATTCACAGTTTCATTTCTAAGGGAGTTTGTTTTTGATTTTTCTTTTAAACACCATACTATATTTCAATGCCAAGACTAATTAAAGTTCCTTCATAAAAATTTCCTAAATTTTCTAAGTATAGAAAACATACAAATCGTGTAAATATTTTTCACAAAGCATCAAGCCCTAAAGTGAGTTCTATCATTCTCAACAGTCATTTACATTCAGATTCTAGCCTAACAAAATTATCATCATTGGGTATCCTCAAAACATTTCATCTAACTGTCTTACCATTTACTGATGCCATGGCATAATACTATGCTAATGCTATCATGCATATGACCTACCAAGAACAATACCTCCCCCAAACTTAAGGGAAGCATTGTCATCAATGCTTTAAAGAGAACTAAACTAACTATAAACTATATGTTATGCAATAAAATGCAACTAAATGAAAATGGATGCAAGAGAGGGTACCTCAATGTTTACGTGGTGGTGGTGCTTTGGAGGTGCTAGCAGCTCCTCATCGGGTGCGCTTTCGGATAGGTGCTGGGATGGACTCGGAAGAAGTGGAGTAATAGTGCGTAATGCGTCCAGCCGTGGTCTTAGTGCAGCGACCACTACGTTGTGCATGAGAAGGATTGGGTGCTGGGATGGGGCTGGGTGTTTTTTCGACAGGGACAGTGGATAGATATTCAGGAGTTTCGGAACGGTGTGTATCAGGAGTAGGATCATCAGCAGGAGGATCAGGTGCATCGTGCTCAGGCTCTGGAGATGCCTCGGCATTGAATGCCGGTAGAATTTCGTCTGGGAATCCAGGAAAATTCCGTTATCCGTGGGGAATGATTTCTTGAAAGAATGATTCCACCACAACATCTCTATGCTTCACATATCCAAAGAAGTTACGGATGTCACCGTGTAAAGCATGCATTTGAGCTTGAGTCTGCATCACAGCTTCCTCGAGAGCAAGTAACCTTGTCTCGGCATTCGATTCTGTAGCACCTACAGATTGCTCATGAACAGGGTCGTTAGACTTGGGATTTTCAATTCCCAACAACAGTGGAAGTCTAGCCCTAGTGATGCCCGATAATCCAGGTAAAATTTCATCAAAAGCATTTTCCTCAACCTTTTTCTTACGACATAAAGCGGTAATTAAATTAGGAAACACCAAAGCACTTGCCTTTTTACCCAAACAGTCGTGAACTTGCTGAACAATGATACGACCCATATCGATCAGACGGGATACCATTATAGAATGTAAAAGCAATAAGCGTGAAAGTGATACCGTAGTGTTGTGGGAGGTGGGCATGAGTTTATGCTTGAGGAAGTGATTCCATAATTTGGCACGCGGGTGAAGACGTTCCCGGTTGACCGAGTATCAGCTCGTCTGGCGACCATTCCACTCAGTGTTTTCGAAACAAAGGTCCTCCAAGACCCCATCGTATGTGTTGTTATCGGCTTCCTCTTCGAACGTGGCATGGTTATCCACAACATCCTGCAAATGAAAATAACGATTAATAGCAGTGGATGTAAAACGGATTTGCTTACCTCGAACGAAGATGGAGTGTTGATTGGGCTTGGAAATATTCGCATAGAACTCCTTAACTAATGAGGCGTTCACCGAACCAGGATGACAGGCAAACTTCTGCCACTTGAGTGGCGTCACGATGTCCATAACTTCGGGTCCAAAACCACCATCGGTTTCCTCGGTAAAATTAAATCCTAACTCAAAAAAGAGTTTTCGGTTCTTAAAGTTTTGGAACCGAGCCTTAGCCTCATCGTTCTCAAACTATTGCCAAGCGGTCGTGTCGGTTGGAGCCGGTCTTGAGCGCACCATTGTCAGTGTTTTTGAAGTAAGAAAAATGAAAAAGGAAGAAGCTTTTGAAAGCTTTAAAAAACTTGGATGTATTTCGGCTATGGAGAGAATAAGGGAAGAATATGAGTAAAAGAGAGAGAAAAAGTAAAAGTTAACATGAAAAAGAAAAAATGAATAAAGAAAGAGAAAAGAAAAAGTTAAAAATTTTTGGAGGGAAAAGGGGGTGATAAGACGGTTAAGAGAGAAATTAGTGGGTGGGGGTTGTGCGTGTATGGGGAAGGAAAAACTGCCAAAAAGCAATGATGATGATGGGACAAAAACTGTGGAAAGAGAAAAGTAAATGTCAGAAATTAAATTAAATAAAAAGAAACAAATCAAAAGAATATCTCTCCAATTAATGCTTTGTCCTTTCCTCCCTTTGGTAACCGTTCCTTGTACGGTTTACAGCAATGTGGTCCCTACAAATCAGATCAAAAATTAATTACAAAATAAAATAAAATAAAACTAAAGAAAAAAAAACTTTAATGTTAAATTTTATTTATGTACAGACACAAATTCAATGCCGAGGCATCGAATTTTGGTTCTCCTCTGAGCACGCTTCAGTATCGTGCAGCCGTAACACGTCCTTATTGTGCGGTGGTGGAATTCCATTGTAGGCTTTCAGACGCTGGCCATTGACCTTGAAGATCTTCCCATTGTCTATTCTCTTGATGTCAACAGCTCCATGGGGATAGACATAATGCACCTCAAATGGCCCTGACCATCGAGATTTTAGCTACCCAGGAAAGAGTTTAAGTCTGGAGTTGTAAAGCAAGACTTGTTGCCCCACATGAAAATGCCGTGGCATCAGTTTTTGGTCATGCCACTTCTTGGTTTTCTCCTTGTATATCCGAGCATTCTCATATGCTTGTGCTCTAAACTCTTCCATTTCATTAAGTTCTAATAATCTCTGCTCCCCAGCTAGTTGAGCATCGAAATTCAATCGCTTGATAGCCCAATAAGCTTTATGTTCAAGCTCAACCGGGAGATGACAAGCTTTACCATACACTAACTTGAAGGGTGACATCCCCAAAGGAGTTTTGAATGTTGTTCTGTACGCCCAAAGTTCTTCATCCAACTTTGGCGACCAATCCTTTCGCTTTGGGTTCACCACTTTCTCTAAAATCTGCTTGATCTCTCGATTAGATATCTCAGCTTGGCCATTTGTCTGCGGATGATATGTCGTGGCAATCTTGTGTCGAACTCCATATCTCAGCAATGCCTTGGCAATCAACTTGTTATCAAAATGGGTTCCTTCATCACTGATGATAGCACGAGGTACTCCAAACCGAGTGAAAATATACTTGTGCAAAAACTTGAGTACGGTCTTGGAGTCATTCCTTGATGTTGCTATTGCTTCCACCTACTTTGACACATAATCCACAGCAAGCGATATATATAATTTTCCTTCAGAAGATGGGAATGGTCCCATGAAGTCGATGCCCCACACATCAAACAGCTCTATCTCCAAAATATTTTGCAGCGGCATCTCATGTCGTTTGGAGATGTTTCCAGTCCGTTGGCATCGATCACATCCTTTGTAAAATGCTTGGGCATCTCTAAACAAAGTTGGCCAGTAAAAGCCTGATTGCAGGACCTTAGCAGCAGTCCTTGCTCCACCAAAATGGCCTCCACTTGGGGCCGAATGACAATGGTACAAATATCACTTGCTCCTCTTCAGGTACACATCGTCTAATGAGCTGATCGGCACAATGTTTTGAACAGATATGGCTCATCCCAAAAATAGTGCCTTGCATCGTGCTTGAACTTCTTTTTAGCCTGACTATTCAAATCAAAAGGCACAATTCCACTAACAAGAAAATTAACAAGGTCAGCGTACCACGGGATTGCCGCAGCATATAAAATTTTCTCATCAGGAAATTCCTCTTGGATATCTACAGTGTCATGGCATTCAGAATTGTTCTCTAGCCTAGATAAGTGATCAGCAACTTGATTTTCAGTTCCTTTTCTATCTACCACCTCTAAGTCAAATTCTTGCAAAAGTAAGATCCACCTAATAAGTCTAGGCTTGGCATCCTTTTTGTTCACTAAGTATTTTATAGCCGAATGATCAGTGTGAACAATAACTTTAGTGCCTATTAGGTAAGGTCTAAATTTATCAAAAGCAAATACTACGGCAAGTAATTCTTTCTCAGTGGTGGTGTAGTTCAATTGTGCTTCATTTAAAGTGCGGCTAGAGTAATAAATAACATGAAAGATTTCACCTCGGCGTTGCCCCAAAACAGCTCCTACGGCATAATCGCTTGCTTCACACATCAGCTCAAATGGTGATGTCCAGTTGGGAGGGACTACAATGGGTGCCGAGATCAGTTGTCGTTTCAGCTCAGTAAATACGCCGAGGCATAATTCGTCAAACACAAAGGGTTGGTTTTATTGAAGCAATGTGCACAAGGGCTTAGAAATCTTGGAGAAGTCTTTGATAAATCTTCTATAAAATCCAGCATGTCCAAGAAAACTTCTTATTCCCTTGACCGAAGTTGGTGGTGGCAATTTTTCAATCACTTCAATTTTCGCCTTGTCTACCTCAATACCCTTGTGTGAAATTTTGTGGCCTAATACAATGCCTTCAGTAACCATGAAGTGACATTTTTCCCAGTTTAAGACCAACTCAGCCTCCTCGTATCTCTTGAGAACTTTTGCTAAATTGCCGAGGCATCGTTCAAAGTCATCCCCACAAACAGAAAAGACATCCATGAAGATCTCTAGAAAATCCTCAACCATATCTGAAAATATAGCTTGCATACAGCGCTGAAACGTTGTCGGGGCATTACAGAGTCCAAAAGGCATCCTCCTAAAGGCAAAAGTGCCATAGGGACAAGTAAATGTAGTCTTCTCCTGGTCCTCTGGTGCGATGGCAATTTGATTGTACCCCGAGTACCCATCCAAAAAGCAATAGAATGCTTTACCGGCCAATCGATCCAACATTTGGTCGATGAAAGGTAGAGGAAAGTGGTCCTTCTTCGTAGCTTTGTTGAGTTTTCTATAGTCCATACATATCCTCCATCTGGTCACAGTGCGAGTGGGTAATAGCTCATTATCCTCATTCGTAACCACCATCGTGCCTCCTTTCTTCGGAATGCATTGGACAGGGCTCACCCATGAGCTATTGGAGATAGGGTAGATCACTCCAGCATCAAGCCATTTCAGAATTTCTTTCATCACCACTTGCTTCATAACAGGGTTGAGTCTTCTTTGTGGTTCAATTGAATTGCCGTGGTAATCTTCTAGCAGAATCTTGTGCATGCAGATTGTGGGACTAACGCCTTTCAAATCAGCCATAGTCCAACCAATTACTTTCTTATGCTGCATCAAAACACTTAACAAACTTTGCTTTTTGGTTAGTAGTAAGGTTAGCGGAAATAATCACCGGTAAAGTCTCATCGCTACCTAAGTAAACATATTTAAGATGCCCTGGCAAAGTCTTAAGCTCTAGATTGGGTGCATGCAATAATGAAGGCTTATGAGAAATGAATTCATCAAAATTCAGAGGTTCAAAATTCATACCTGATCTAACTTGTACTAAGCTAGATTGCTCCTCCAAAATTGGAAAGTCGTCGGACTCCACTAAGCTTTCATCATCCACCCAATATTCATTTTCTGCTAGCTGAATGAAGTTGTTCTGGCAAAGATGTTCAGTCTCTTCTTCAATCACTGAGTTTAATTCAGAAATGCCTTGGCATTCTTCAGTGTCATCAACATATTTGAGCGTTCTAAAAACATTGACAGTCACACACTGATCAGTCACTCTCATGGTGAGTTCACCTTTTTCACAGTCTATCAAGATACGTCCAGTGGCTAGGAAAGGTCTTCCCAGAATGATTGGGTGCCTTGGCATCAACTTCGCAGTCCAGAATTAAGAAATCGACTGGAAACACAAACTTGTCCACCCTTACTATGACATCCTCGACTCTCCCTTCAGGTTTAACATGGGATTTGTCGGCAAGTTGTAAAATAACTGAGGTGGGTCTTGCATCTCCTATGCCAAGCTTCAAGAATATCGATTTTGGCATTAAGTTGACACTTGAACCAAGATCACATAAAGCCTTTCCAAAGAAATTAGCTCCAATTGAACAAGGAATAATGAAGCTGCCCGGATCATTTCTCTTTGGCGGCAACTTACTCAATGAAGAACAAAATTATGTTGCCGTGGCAACAGTCTCTACTTTCCTCTTCTTGGTACAGATGTCCTTCAGAAATTTGGCATACATCGGCATCTGTTCAACAGCTTCCAAGAGAGGTATATTGATATGGAGCTGATCAAGAATGTCTACGAACTTCTTGAACTGAACTTCATCATTGTGCTTCTTCAATCTTTGTGGGAAGGGTGGGGGAGGTCTAGCTTCCTTAGCTGTAGGAATAGAATTTTCTTTTGCCTTGGCATCAGAATCTGGTACCTTGGCAGAATCCTCCTCCTTGTCCTTCTCAGAAACTCTATCATCTTGTAATTCAGCTTCAGTAGTGGGATTAGAATCATCATGATGTGGCCCACTATCCTTGACTTGTCGATTGATTTGTGTTCCACTCCTAAGAGTTAACACATTGCAGTGCTCTTTTCCAGGTCCTTTAGTGACTTCAGTATTGCTTGGAAAACGTCGTCCTTGCTGACGCTCTTGCAATGCCGTAGCAATCTGACCAACTTGACCTTCCAAAGCTCTCAGAGACGAGCTATGGCTTTGAAGTAAGGCGCCTTGACTATAAAGTAAAGCTCCTTGATTCTTAATTGAAGTAGAATGGTCTTGTTGCATTGTCTTCGTAGTAGATATGAATTCTTGAATTGTAGCTTCTAAGGAACTTATGCTCGCTGAAGATGAAGCTCCTTTGTTAGCATTATGCCATGGCATAGCATTTTGGTAACTTTGAGGCTCATTGTGATTCTGCTGCCTAGTAGGATGATTAGCATTGTGGGCTCCTTGATTTCCCCATGAGAAATTGGGATGCTGACGCTATCCAGCATTATAAGTGTTTGAGTAAGGATTGTTGCTGCCTCGATTGTAATTACCAACAAAGTTGATGGACTCATGGTTGGTTGGGCATTCACTCTCGTGATGATTGTCTTGACACAACAGACATGCCAGATTATTTGTTTTCACTTCCTTCACATCAGTGGAACATTGTAAGTTCTTTAACATATTAGTAATAGCGGAGAGTTGAGCGGACACCGAATCTTTGGCTTCTAACTCGAATGCTCCAGGTGCTCTTCTCCCACTCCCAAGTCTTGAGGAAGGAAATTGATAATCATTGTTAGCAATTCTGTCCAAGATAGCAAACGCCTCCGTAGGTGATTTGTCCAGCAATGTCCCATTTGCCGAGGCATCCAGTAACATCCTCGTGGGTGCATTGACTCCATTATAGAACATGACTACTTGAGTCCAATCATGAATACCATGATTTGAACACTTTCGAAGCAAACTCTTGTAATGATCCCAACACTCATACATGGATTCGTCGTCGCCTTGGTGAAAAGATGATATTTCATTCCTTAGCTGCGTATTCATGTTTAATGGGCTGTACCTCAATAAGAAACTCTTACAAAGATCGGCCCATGATTCTATCGAACCGGCTGGTACACCACTCAACCAAACTCTTGCTCGGTCATGCAATGAATATGGAAAAAGCTTTAATTTCAGAAAATCCTCATGCACTCCTTCTTGGTGGAAAGAATCACAAACTTCCAGAAAATTACGAATGTGATGCCTGGCATCTTCAGTTGGCATACCCCCAAACTGCCCAATGAAATTCAACATGTTGAACATGACTGGTTTCAGCTCGAAATATGCAGCTTGAATTTCGGGTGCCACAATCCCAGGATTCAGATCATCCAGCATCGATTTAAATGATCGAATAACACGAGGTCTGATAGCAGGTTCAGCATTGTTTAATGTCGCGGCATTCTGATTTCCGTCATCTTGACCAATGCCTTGGTTTCCAATCTGATACATATTTCCTTGAGCACGTCTTCTTCTTCTAAAGAGTCTTTCAATCTCAGGTTCTATCATTCCAAAGGCTCTTCAGAATTTCTTCTAGGCATACTAAATAAACCTGAAAATAAAACAAAAAATCAAGTAAACTATACAAAAAATAAAAATGCAAAACAGAATAAAATGCTCTGGATAAACTAAATAACTTCAGGCTACCAATCCCCGGCAACGGCGCCAAAAACTTGTTCGCGTGTTGTGAGTACTATAAAATATACGCAAATAATGTGCAAGTATACACAATCGCTCAAGTAATGATGAGTATCGTCTCCACAGGGATTGGGTGAAATTACGAAAGTCTAACCAAAGCAACGCACTAAATTATCTAAGTATAGTTAGTCTTGATATATACAAATGTCACGGTCATGGAAATGTCTATGCTGGTGGATGCGGATTGATTGTGTGATGGTGTAGCAAATGGAAATGTAGTGACAATGATGGATGTTTAATATTGAGTATGGTGAAATGTCAAGGCAATGAAAAATGGTAAAGACAGTAAATAAAAAGATAAATAAATAAAATAAGAAGAAAATAATCCTCACGTGACAAGCTTCCAATGAAATGAATGGTAAGGATTGGTCTAGGGTTGCTAACTTATTTCTCAAGTATATTAAGCTATCTTGTCTTTACTTACTCGACAGGCTTTCCTAAGGTGTTCAAAAGAACCTAACAGAATAGGATGCCAAGGCATCTGCTCTCACTCACGATGTTTAAAATAAGAAGAAAATAATCCTCACGTGACAAGCTTCCAATGAAATGAATGGTAAGGATTGGTCTAGGGTTGCTAAACTTATTTCTCAAGTATATTTAAGCTATCTTGTCTTTACTTACTCGACAGGGCTTTCCTAAGGTGTTCAAAAGAACCTAACAGAATAGGATGCCAAGGCATCTGCTCTCACTCAACGATGTTGGACAGCCTACCCTATTGATAAAGACACCCTTTTTAGTCGTTGAAATCCTAACCTAGTCTCTTCCGAGATCTAAGGGATTAAGTTATAATATTCCTATGCCGGTTCAAAGCCCCTTGAAAATACCATAACCCATTGCTTATAAGGATCTTATCTTGTGTTTATTCCGAATACTTACAAGTATTTTTAGTTTAGGATTCTTCCGAATACCTAACCTTCATCTAAGAGATGGACATTTCCATGCCTCTTACAAGCCTAGATGGTGAAGCATTCATAAGCAAAGCAAATAAAGAACCAAAATAAACTTAAATATACCATTAAAAATAAAGTTTAAACAACCATTAAATCAACCACCACCAAATAAGTTAGTTCATGGTGGGGTTCGAAATATCCAAACACAAAGTCATGAAAATATTCGTTCCAACAACCCAAAAAAATAATATAAAAATAGCAGCAAAAAGGGAAGCGAGAAGAAGCCTTCGACGCGCCACCGGAGGTCTCCTCTCGGCCACCACGAACCACCTAGCTCGCTAGCTACTTTCGTCGCCTAGCTTGACACTCCTTGGAGATTTATCAATGGAGGAATATCCCAAGGAA